TTGAGTTCACTATATTTTGAAGAGAAACAATTCAATCCATAATGTCCCAGGACACATAGGTATAGAATGAGAGACCTCGGTATATCTTGGATTGTGAGGTCACTGAAAGTGTGTTGCCCAGTTCAGATCCAGACCTTTCATTGCCAGCTGGAATTTGGGGAGAAGCAGAAGCCCAGGTGACCGGGGATAGTCCATGCGCCCAAGCCTAAGGTCCACTGGAGGGAGAATAAGGAATTTGTCCTTTGTAGTTATCCAGTGACCTGTGTACACATTGACCAGCTGTGTAGCTGGCAGAGACCGGTACACGATGGCTCTAATGGCTTGTGGGCAAAGAGTGGGCACTGAATTGTCACTAAATTGCTTTTGTTTGTATTGGTTGGGAACAGCTTGCATGAGGCAGCTGTTAGCTCTTAAGAACAGTTCCAGGGCCCAGGAAGCGCTAGTGTCTGGTCCCGCCCCTTTTCTCATTCCCTCGTCTTTGTTTCCCAAGAACTTAAATGAGGGCTTCGATTGGAGCCATTTAGTAAATTTCTGAAATTCTGTTCTTAACGAAGGTATAATCTTTCTAACTTCTGGATGTGTCCTTCACTGGACTTGCCTAACAAAATTCAAATATATTTTCTCAAAATAACCATCTGCGGAAAAAAAAGAAAAGGTCATTAGGATCAAGTGTAAAGACCTACTCTTCCTGCATAAAGGAATTATCCAGAAAATGACAGGTCTGTATTTTTTATTTCTTTCTTTTACGCTGGTATTCTCCTGCAATTTCATTGGAGAAGGAACAGAAAAGGAGGGTTAGTACTGGATTATGGTCAGTTCATATCACCATAATCCCTTACGTGATGTGTTCTCTTGTAGACTTCATACACCTGTGGTTATGGTCCGAGTTTTGGAGGGCATTACCTGCTAATGACCAGGATGGACGGAAATTAAGACCTGGCCTTAGTAGAGAGTGGTTGCTGTACTTGTACTGGATGTCAGGAATGATATGCTACAGCTGAGAGGAGAAAAGCTGCTTCTGGAGGGACCTGGGTAAAAAGCCTAAGATTAATAGGAGGCCACGGCCTCCTGGAAACATCCTGCTAAAGGCCCCAGTCATATGAGCATAAATAAGATACTATACAGTGGTGGATAATAAACTATTATATTGATGTTATCATTAAAAAGGTGAGGATTATATATTAATTTGATTGTACTATTGATATCCAGTGTAATTCCCATCAAACGACCTTCCCCTGAATGGGATTGATAAGAAGGTGGAGGAAGATATGGATACGATTTACCTGTGAGTTATTGTGAAGAAGATTCCCTGGAATGCCTTCTTGTTGCATATAAAATAAGCCCACTATGATGCAGGGGAGCTGATCTCATCACCAGCAAGAGCCAGGAATGGAGCATGCCCTCTGGATCCAGCATCTGGCTTATCACGCCTGTCTTTTGGATATTAGACTGAGTAGCACTCACCCCCACCTGAGATAGTTCCTCAAATGTTTGTGAGTTTCTGTGGGAAGTGGCAGCAATTTGTAGAACCCCAAGATGTGAGGGAATATTCTCAAGGGGGCTGGGGGTGGGGTGGGGGATGAGAATGGAACTGAATAGCGTCATGGAATACAGTGAACCCTTGCCACTTCGCGCTTCGACTTCCGCGGCTTCGCT